GCCTCCAATGCAGTCACCAAGGAGTCCCAAAGAAGTTGTCGATGTGGCTCACTTCCGGAGAATGAGGACCTAAGGTGTCCTTAGCAACACGCTTGACAACATCAATGTCCCAAGACGATTGCAAAACGGCGTTGCCACGGGTTTTGTCAGCAGCAACAAGGGCACCATGCGCTTACTGCGGCGAGTGCTCCTATAGCGAGCACCCACGTTTCTAGCGAAAATAGAGTCTAGGCGCATCCTAGCGCCCACGGCCGGGGTTCCAATTGAAGACGAAGACATCAGAATTAAATCCTATAGGAGGGGCGTTGGGGAAAAGGCGAGGTATAATTTGTGGGGTGGCGAGCGCCGGCATAATTACGGAGTGGGAGGCCAAAAGGGGTCGAACGAAACCAACGAAGTCGAAGATGCGGCGGCCAAGGAGATGTCGACAAGGTTGATCAGGCCCAGTCAAAAACAAATTCCAACGCAGACATCCGAAGGATAAGCCGAAAGTCCCAACCGAAGATCTCACCGCAACGTTGCGCAAGCCGCACGCTCTAGATATGCCAATTCAACACCTCGCGAGGCCCCAACGCCCCGCCAAGCGGAAAAGCTTAGCCAATCATGGCAAAGTGAGCAGTGATAAAAGCGGGGTGATACCCCATAACCCGTGAGATATATTGTTCCGCAATATATCGGGTTGTCACTGAATAGTTTTCATACAAGTGTAAACTGATTATAAGAGATAACGAATATATATATCGGTCTGTGACCTAGGTATCTGTCACCTAGTATTGTACGAGTACTGGTACAGCTAACGGGAGTCATATCAAGTTATGACCTACGGGTCACTGAATGCTGAAATCTGTATAGGCAGCCCTGACCGGGAGTCCCGGTGCAGGCCCCTATGACAGATTCCTAGGTAGCCAACACTGGACCGTGACTGATCCGTAAGCCTGTGCTGTGACACACCGAGTGTCACAGGTAGCTAGACTCGAGACCGTTCCGACTCCGTGACCGTTCCGGGTATATCTAGCTTAGGGTTTATTTCTTATAAGAGTTTATCTATATTGGTTCACTGACTGTCTGATATCTTGAACCGGGATATTCCAGTAGGTCGTGGACCCATTCCACGCTATATTCCACAGCTAATTTGGCCATGATTGGCTAAAACAGCCGCTTTGAGAGGTGGTGCGCAACGGCGCGTTTGGGTACGAGTGGGAAGTTTGAGATGAGCAGTTTGTAAGTGCGTTTTTGAGCCGCCGCTATGGGGATTCGACCTGGACCGGGCTTCGTTGGCGCAATGTCCTTTTACGGTATAGTTCTTGCCTTGGCCCAGCATGCTACCGCTTCTTGGGCTGGTGTCTGCAGCACCTTCGACCTCGACGACGTCTTCCAGTGCCCCTCGCTCGCATGGCTCTACCGCTCCTTACGCAACTGTGACGTCGCATTTTCCCCACGCCATTGCCCTTACGCGCCCCGGCGTACCACCTCCCATCAGGCTTTCAAAATTATGGTTGTTCACACACGTGCGAAGAGGTCCCTCACGAGGGACTCCGACATTGATGCCTCGTTGAGGCTGACGGACGCGGTTCGCAACACGCCGACGGCTAGATCACCGGCTGTTACGAACCCCGACCCTACTTCCAACACCGACGCCGACGTTGCGACGAGGAAGTACCTGCAGGAGCAGTCCAAGCTTGTGGACGAGGTCTACAAGGGGCGGCTCCATCGGACATGGGCCAAGGGTATCCGCGAGGATATCCTTGGCGACAAGAAGCATTATTTCAGCGGCACGACTGACGCGGGTCTCCTCTCCGACGTGGTGGTTCAGCTACGTACGGAGTTTGAGTCCGCTGGGCTGGACCTCGTCTCGTTCGACCTTGACGACCCCCAGGCTCTGGTGGTGAGCAAGGTGAACGCCCTGCTGTACGACGTGCTTGGGCTTATCATCGAGAAGCACAGCAACGCCCACGTCTGGCTTACGGGTACGGACGCGTCTGCCGACCGAGATGGACGGCGTGCGCTGGTGGACATCGTGAAGCGCAGCGTACCGGTGGCGTTGCGGGAGTCCTTCCAGCAGGAGCATGCCGCGCTTGCTTATCCCGCGAACGTTGACCCGCAGCCGATTTTGGCTCGGGAACAACGTTTGGTGCGGGATAACAAGGCGGCCGACTGGACACCCACCGAGGCCACCAGGAAGCTCAGCCTGTACAGCAGGCTTGACCCGGTGTTCTACGCCGCGGTCAAGGTGCGTTACCCCATGGTGGCCGACCTCGCGTCGGTTTCCCTTGTGGCCTTGCGCTCTTTGGTCGTCGAGATTTACCAGGCATGGGCGCAGACGGACGTCGGGAAGGCCTTCCTGGCCAAGCCCGCAGGTGGTGACACGTCGGCCCTGCTCACCAGCAGCGAGCACCAGGCGCTGCTGGACAAGATCAACGAGCTGACCGCGCTGGTTCAGCAGAAGTACGAGGCGGCTCCGCCGGTGGTGCAGCGGCAGCAGGACCCGCCGCAGCGGCAGCACGGACAGCGCCGGCAGCAGCAGCAGCGCGGGCAGTCGCAGCGGGGCTTCCGCATGGGGGTCCAATCCCCACCGGCGGTGGGCTACGATCGTGACGAGCAGCGGGCTAAGCCGCTGTGTACCCGCTGCAAGAAGACTGGTAAGGATCTTTACCACTTCTACCGCGACTGCCCTCTTGGCGGTCGCCAACATTCCCCTACTTCCGCCGCGGCTTTCTGCGTACCCATCGACGACGAGGATGCAGAGGGAGTCCATGCGCTAGCCATGTGTGCTCTCTTCCAGGAGGCGGCAGATGATGGTGCTGAGGCTTTTGCCCGCGCGGCGACGGCGTACGGTCCGCCAGCGGTGCTGTGCGGAGGTGTTGTGGGGGGCGTCGACGTGTCGGCCTACGGCTTCTCCGTTAACGCGGTGACGCCGGTGGCGGAGACGTCCGGTGACGACATCCTGCAGCGGCTGGATGACCTCGCGGCGGAGGTCAACGCGGCGGTGGGGCCTAAGGTACATTACACTCACGCCTCTTTCCCGCCACCTGGGGGCATTGCGACGCAGGCTTCGGCTCTGGTGTGTGACACTGCGGGCGCAGGTATCACACCGGAGGAGCAGGTTCCGGCAGGTGGTGCGGCGGCATCGGCATCCGCCGTGCCGGCCCCTGCTATGCCTGTCTTGGAGAATGAGGAGGAGCTCCTGGAGCTCTACGGCTACGGCCCGCCCGTGTCCCTTCCATCGACGCGGGTAACCACTACGGAGAAGTCAGGCGGTGAATTCGCGGGGGCTGTGGAGACTGTAAACCACGCCGCGGTTGCGCCGGTTGACTTGACCGGCTACGACACCGACGACTACGAGGATTTTGCAGACGGCAGCTTCGCCGTCAAGCCGCGGGCTCCGGCCATCTCGGCCAATCATGCGTCGGAGCCCGCAGCCCACGTGCCTGAGTCTGGTGGTGCTTCCCGCACCTACGGATGTGGCAAGCCGCCATGGGGCTTCCCCGCACACGCGGGCCCGTGGGGGTTTCCTTACTTTATCTCCCTCATTCTTTTCATCTCGATCATGGGTGTGGGGGCTGCCGCCTACACGGCGGCCAATGACATCGGCTCTGTGCAGGTATCGGGTCGGGCTGCACCGCAGCCTGTGCTGTGCAGAGGGGATTTATGCATCTACCCTGGTATTTCCGAGCTGGACCCCGTCACTCTGGATGCAGTACTGCACTCCCTGGGTGCTGCGACGGTGGTTCACCGGCCGCCTGACCCACTGGAGAGCAGTGCTGCAAGCTACTACCGTGGACATTGTGGTGACGGTGCCCCTCTGAACTTTGACCCCGAGTAGTTTTCCTTCTGGCTCTGGCAGTACACCACTCTGGTGGTGTGCTGAGATGTGCTTTGACCTCAACGTGGTCTTCAATTTGCTTTATGCTTTGCTTTGACATCTACAATCTTCAATCTGGTTTGCTTACACAGTGCCTTTCAGTTGTTTAGCGGGAGCTCCTTACCCGTAGGTTTCTGCACTTGTGCTAGCTAGAGGGTTTCAATTTGTGTATCAGAATAGCACAGTTGGATTAGCAGTTAGGTTTGTCACCCTAGCTCCTACCCTAACTTATCTTAACTTCTCTGACTTACCTGCCAGTCACCACCCACAGTGCTGGGGTGGTGTGCTGAAATCTGTATAGGCAGCCCTGACCGGGAGTCCTGGTGCAGGCCCCTATGACAGATTCCTAGGTAGCCAACACTGGACCGTGACTGATCCGTAAGCCTGTGCTGTGACACACCGAGTGTCACAGGTAGCTAGACTCGAGACCGTTCCGACTCCGTGACCGTTCCGGGTATATCTAGCTTAGGGTTTATTTCTTATAAGAGTTTATCTATATTGGTTCACTGACTGTCTGATATCTTGAACCGGGATATTCCAGTACTGAATCCAGCAACTTAGCCTACTATAGGAAGTGACAGGTGACAGATTTGGGTGTCAGTGTGTCACATCCAGCAATATCCACTACATATACCGAAGCTTTCTCAACCTCTTCCGCAAACGAATGTGGACGGGCACGATGTGAAAAATGATTGTTTACATAAATCGTTTAGACCGGACGGTGGGGTTTTTTTCGTAGCGGTTCGAGCGTAGGGCTTTTTGCCGTGCTACATATTAACATGTGGCGGGTTGACGTATTATATTACTAATGCGTGGGGGGTTCTGGGCCTGCGAGGATCGGGTAGAGGGGTTGTCTCGCGGGCAAGATATTCGCATGCGTTCTGGTTTCTCAAGTTTTTCGAATTTGGTGGGTGGGCGGGGGGCGACACGTGATGATACATAAAACGGGTGCGGGCGGATGGGGTGGCGGCAAAAAAATCGGTTAATAAGCACCGCGTGGTATAATTAGGAAATTTGTGGAATGCGCGTGCGAGGGGTCAGAACCACATTCCCGCTTGGCAAAACTCCCAGAATACTTGGATATATCGTATTGCTTGCGGTAAAAGAGACGCAAGGCTATATATCAAAACGAATGCAATAGTCCCACACGGGCTCGAACCGCGGACCTTGGCGTTATTAGCACCACGCTCTAACCAACTGAGCTATAAGACCAGCACATATCAGAACGTGGTTTCGATCCACGGACCTGTGGGTTATGGGCCCACCACGCTTCCACTGCGCCATTCTGATAGTAATATGCAGCCAGAAAAATGTGTGTTATGATTTAAAACATAAAATTTGCTCATCGCCGTATGACAAGTTTGTCTGCATCCCACCACATTCACACTCAGCGCCGAGAGACGCAGATTCCATCAAACGCCGCACCAGATCGAGACGTGGGAGACCGACGTGCGCTTCTCGTTCTGCTATCTGCTTCCCTCGCCTGGTACGATCGGCATCACCAAAAGAGAGAAACAAATCGTCCATCCACGAGACCGACAGGCTCGGGCGGGCATATCCTGCGCGTCGCCTTTTAGTGTTTCTTTCTTATCAGCATCCATCCCTGTCCTCGCCCAAGTTTTCGGTCTCCCACAAGCTAGCATATCAAGATAGCGGTGACTTGTATTTGTGTCGCGGCACGGCGGCAGGCTGTCTAGGACACCGCGGAGGTGGTATTTTCCTGAAATCCAGGTGTGTTCGCCTAGTTGGTCTTGGAGATCAAGCGTTACGATTCAAATCGTCTTTTATCCCTTGCTTAAAACGTCGGTTCTTCAGTGCGGTATAACGGGACAACTCGCCTGTTTGGTACCGTTATCCGTGTCGTCGTTGTAAACTATGGCCTTATAACGCGAAAGCTTCTCAGCTTTTGAGGACCGAAGCGGCTTAGTGTTGCCCGTTCCCTACCGTATTGATCATACTGTTTGCGACAAGTTTCGGGTAAATTTTATTCACTGGCGACGCTGCCTCTCGCCATGCTGCTGTCCTCTCCCAGCACGTATGCTAAGGTGGAACGGTTTTACTTGGTTGGGGCGAAAGCCCACGCAATCAACTCAAATACAATAGCAGCTCGTCACAGAATATCTCATCGACCTTTGCTTAAACGCGCGGTGCAGTATTCTAGACTGCGGCGATATGCAAACCGAGTCTCTCGCCGACCGTGTGAGGCGGGAATGTCCAACTCGTCGCCCCTGCCCAGCGCTAATCTCGCCTTATCAGTGCAAACTGACAGTATCCCACTGGAGCAGCAGACCGCACTGACGGAGTTTGTCCTAAGAGCTGTCCCTTTGCCACTGCCGAAGATGATGTGTCGGCCTGTCGTGGCCCAAATCGTTTCGCACACATCTGAGCAGCTGACCAACTCAATGCCGGACAAGATGAAAAAGAAAGTGCGTAGCGGGAAACACCTGAACGATCAAGAGTTGGACGAGCTCGCCAAGGCGCTTTCTAAATCAACCATTTTGCCTCTGCTCAGCGAAAAAACTTCGGAGCCTATCTTTCGTGCAGTGGTTGCGGCGATGTTAGGAGCTAATAAGGTACCGTAACCTTATGAGGAGAGGTTCGCTTCTCCTTGGACCTCACTGCGCAAACGTTAGCAAACTTTGTTTCATAATGGGGCGACTGATTCAATTAAGCACAACTCTGAGTGGTAACCGAGTCGCCTTGTAGATATCTCGCTCACGTGGAGAATTCTTGTCCCAGCGTTGACCAACCGACTGTTCTGTCGTTCGTCAGGGCGTTCCTTCACCTCTTCGCTTCGTTCGGAGAATTCACCTCAGATAACGGGTTACGCCTTTAGACAAAGAGTGACCTTCGAGACAACAACTGTATCCTCCCGTTGACAGCTCGCGCGCGGCGCTCGTGTAAGCCGTTGCGGCGCTATGGTCCCACTTCCTACTGTTCTCCAAGATATAACTAATTTTGAGTGTCTCGCACGTCCCGAGGCACAGAAGACAGATCGCAAGGCTTGTAGGTCCAGGTGATGCGTTTCGCCTCACTTGAGGCAACGCGTCTTCGCGTAAAACGGGATTCACCACACGTTCCAGGTTGATTTGACTCGGGAATCGCCGCATGGACCAGGTGAGACTCGTCGCACCAGTCCGATGGAAGGATGTGCTCTCTGCGGGGATCGGCATCGAGAACGAGGAGATACGGAATGCGTTGGCCGTGGATCTGGCTGCGTCGATCGATGTACCAGGAATAAACGAGGAAAAGGAGGTGCAGATCGCCCAGTGGCTGGTGGACAGCGCGTCCAAGCAACTGCTCAAGGCGCTGCCGCCGGAACTGCTGCCTGTGCTGCGCACTTCATCGACCAAAGAACTTGCCCAACTCAGAACGACCCTCGTCGAGACCCTCGCTGACAGCAAGAACGTTGCTATTCCGATCCCAGGTGGCTCTGCTCGGCTCCTCGCTGAGTGCAGCTAGGGCTCAGGGGGGACTAGCCCGTCTCCGCTGGCAGCCTGAGTGCAGCTAGGGCTCAGGAGGGACTAGCCCGTCTCCGCTGGCAGCCTGAGTGCAGCCAGGGCTCAGGGGGGACTAGCACGTCTCCGCTGGCAGCCTGAGTGCAGCTAGGGCTCAGGGGGGACTAGCCCGTCTCCGCTGGCAGCCTGAGTGCAGCCAGGGCTCAGGGGGGACTAGCACGTCTCCACTGGCAGCCTGAGTGCAGCTAGGGCTCAGGTGGGACTAGCACGCATACCAGATGAGTTAAAGTGCACCTTAGGTCAGCTCTGCCAGACGTTTGTTCCTTTGATGCTATCCGTAGAACTGACATCTGTGGGCCTCCTCCAAGCAGGCCTAGAAGCACTCATCACACGTGAGAGGAAGCTGGCGCTGTATCGCCAGGTGGTTGACTTTGTTTTTGATAGGTGATGTCTCATTCTTTCCCCGGATCACATACTGGTCTAGTGATTCGCTTCCCTCTTTTATTTCACACAATACAATTTGTTATTTTAGCTCGATCTGCGTTCTTGTGCTCCGGTCTCTGTAAATCACTTAAAACCCTTCGTAGGGCGTTTGGGGCAGGTACATTATTGGATCAAAAGCTGAAGAGCGGCTAATGTCTGAATCGGAGTTGCAAGCTCATAAAGGTGTTATCCTCCAGCAAAAGGTGGAATACTTGGCAGATCGGCGGCGCATGCTGCGGATGAACATCATGCACTCAGCCGAGGAATGGTGGTCCGCTTACTGGGAGATGCAGGCAACTGTGTGGCAACTCCGTAGGCTGCGAGCATCCCGTTTCCTTTTCAGTGTCCTTAAAGTGTTCCTGGTGGTGTCCATAGTTCTTGCCAGCGCTTGGGGTACCGCTGTATACTTCGGCTATGATGTGGCTGCTTACATGAAATACTGTGTCAGTTTATGTGTAGGGGTGGTTAGTGGAATCGAGGTCATGGGTTTCTTCAGCCCTGTGGTGGATTTCCTCAACTTCCTCTTCTCCAACATCAGAGGAATAATCGGCGCATCTTAGCCCTCAATGAAAACTATGTACAGATTCCATTGCTGGACACGGAACAAGTCGAGTTCAAGGATTGATGCCAGAGAATGCTGTCTTGTGTCCGGCCCTTCTAACGCTGGTAAGTCTGAATGTGAAGGATTGATTGATGAAAGATGCCCACATAATGTGCCATAGGGATGAACTGAAATTTGTGAAATGCATATGCAGTTACTGCTATCGGAGTCGTATAAAGGGGTACCCAAACTTTTTACTTAGTTATTCTTCTTCTCTTTGGGAACGCGAGCATCTTGTTATTGATCTACACGATATCTTGTAAGAATAACAGAGAATTCATGAGAATTTCCCATGATAAGAATTTGATGGTTTTGTTTGAAGTGAAGTATATCAATGGGCTCCTGTACTTTGCGAGATTTTGTAGTTGGAATACACTTTTATTACTGGTTATATAATGATACACTCATCATATCAGAATCTACCTGTGCACTGAAAGGACCATTGGGGCAACATCTAGGAGTGGTTTTGTAAATGGTGCATCGGGTTTTCCTATTATTATATTTTGTCATTGCTTAATGCAGGAGTTTCAACATTGCCTATAAGGGGGGCCTACCGCAATCTCATGCCCCCCCCCCCTAGCAACTTTCGTTGGCCCTTAATTTTCGGGCAACAGACATTGAATTTGTTTGGGTTTGTGTCCGAATAAGCACTGTGCGTTACTACATGCAATAAATTTGTCGATTCTTCATCGGAGTCAACATCTTTCGCCTGTCGCAAACGCGTGCATATGATGGGACAAATACTGTCAGTCCCGAGCGATATCAATGTTCACATATGTATCTGGCATGGTCTCAGCATACACATAGGTTCGTAATAATCAATGCATACTCCAGCATGGCAAGTGATCGTAGAGCTACAATTTTTTTTTGAAATTCTGATATTCCGAAATAACATACAAGGCTCTCCTATGCAAGCCCAAATTTCTCACATGAAAAGGAATGAAAACAGCAGTATATGATATTCACCAAAAGATAATAAAACCACCAAAAGTACGAATTATTGTACAAAACTGTGAGCAGAGTTGTCTTAGCAGTCTAGCACTAGGCACGCGAACAGCCACCTAGCACTTGCGAAGGCAAAACAATAATGAGTCCACTACTCCTGACCTGCGGTCAGAGCCTACTTATTCTCAAGTCACTGTCACATCTGTAAAACTGTAAAGACTTCCGCTCTAAGATCTTCATCCACCAATAGAATGCTACTATTCTCTGCCAGCTTTAATGATGTTACCGTATCCCATCGTCTGGCTGACACGTCAGTGGCAGCATCCTAAACGTCACTTCTTCTAGAAACATTCTTCTTATCTCAATGGCATACCACGATGACCATGTCTTCCTCACCATATCTGCTATCTCTGAGCAGTCATCACGCGCGAGGTCTGGCATGCTTGTCTCGTCTGTCACGCCTGTCACCAGCTGGACAACCCCGGCTTCGGTACCACGAGAAGCCGGCGTTTGTTACAGCTGTCGCAAACGCGTGCATATGATGGGACAAATACTGACAGTCCCGAGCGATATCGATGTTCACATATGTATCTGGCATGGTCTCAACATACACATAGGTTCGTAATAATCAATGCATACTCCAGCATGGCAAGTGATCGTAGAGCTACAATTTTTTTTTGAAATTCTGATATTCTGAAATAACATGCAAGGCTCTCATATGCAAG